TATATGAGAGAGAGAGAAAGAGAGATGGGTTCTGATTAATAAAATCAGAGTGTCATAGGAGCTCTCTAATCTATACAGATGTTTGGATACTCTTGATGCCTAGGCCTGAGACAAAGTAGCAAAGTCACAATCCAGTTAAATACCTAGTTAAAGATTGGAAATAGAAGTGTCATGGACAATGAGGGTGGTTGCCAATAGCCAGTGGGAAAAGTCCAGGACCAGGTGTCCAAATGCAGTCTCTTCCACCCCAAACAATTCCTGACGAGCACATCTGTCCTCAGGTTCCACATAGAAAGGTGCCAACAGCACAGCGCAGATGTTCAGGTAGCCAAGCGTTACCTGCCCCTACATCAGACTACAATTCAGTCTAGCCCTCTTAATACCACCTCTGGTCTCGGGACTGAACTTGCCTAATTGAAAACCGCCATGACGACATTGACGGATGGCACTTAGTATGTAACAGCACATGTTCGCCACAAAAAAAACCTAATAAAATGTGTCTATATTTTAGGGATTGGGGGACTGTGGAGAGCAGAAATATTTTTCAAAGAACAGTCCCCAAAGAGGTAGTATGGCTGGGATACCATGGAAAGGTCGGAACCTGAAATGATGCCTCCTTATTTTGTGACCTTTCTCAGACTAGTGAGACAGGTGGTTCCACCTGTTCCCGGGAAGGATTTAATTGAACCTGTACTTGGAGCTGCTCTCAATCTGCCAAGTGCTCAAACGATCTCCACTGGAAATGCATCCCTACCTCCTGGCCACTGATCAAGCTCTTCGTAAACGGAGCGCTTTTTCCAAACACAAAGATGATCTCTTCAATCTGCTTTGTTTTGCCTTTTGCTTGCTTAGCATTTCCGTTTTATTGGCCACACGGCAGAGCCCCCTTCATTTTAAAGGGGAAGGTATGGTAAGGATAGAGATTCAAAAATAAAGCCTTTCACTTTTGATATGTACTCACAAAATCCCCTTTCTATTCCTTGGGACAGTTTCATCTTGTAATGCGGGTGGTGGGAGGGAGGATGGAAGCGGGGCTCCTGTCACCATTGTGATCCCAGAGCTGGCGATGGGACCGGGTTGGGGGAAGAGGTGTGGCACTTGTCGTAGGCCAGCATGTTTGGAAGGAGGAAATGGAAGAATGATGGGTGAAGAGCCATTCGATGAGGGTAAACTTGAGGGTTTATTTTCAACGTTCAGGCTTTGAGTTCAAGCTCCTCACAACTGTGGGGAGGAACAAGAAGACAAACACCTCGCTCTGAACTCTGTGTCTCCTAACGGGAATGAGAATCTTCAGGCAAGTTCAGAAAACAGGAGAAGAAGACAAGAGGAAGGAGAGAGAGGCAATGGTGGGGGGAGTAACTGCTGATCTGCTGACCCCAGACCCTCCTGCAGCCAGTGAGTGACATCTGAATACAACTTGCAGAGCCTGTCATCTGCATTCCCGAGGGAGAGCAACAACTGCTGTCTTCAAGTGTTTCTAGGATAATGTTTTGTTTCTAGCAGTGCAATTTGATGTTGAAGACCACAGAACTTCTATTGACAAAAGTGATTACAATTAAAAAAGAATAGACATGCGTAAAAATTCTCAATTGTTATTTTCCCACGGAAGAGGCTTGTTGGCATTGGACACCAAGGGATGGGTGCTGAGAGTTCCCCAGGGGGAGCAAACACACCCTTCACGTTGGCCAAGTTCAATGGCCAAGTTTCAATTCCAGGCTGCTCCACGCATTTCTGGTGATGGTTGTTTCTGCCTCTGCCTCAACTTGTTTCTGGTAGATATGGGTTTGTCAAAATCTTGTTTAGAACTGCCAACCTTCTTCTACTTTGATCAGATCTCCTTCGCAGACCAGCTGAGATTTTTTTAAGCTTACCTTTCTGAGTACGGACACACTGCTTCTCAGAAGGCTGAGCAAGGCGAGGGGGCCCTGGGACAAAGGTCTCCACACGCACGCAGTACAGGGTGTCTGGCTCCAGCCAGCTGAGCACCAGCGTGCGGTTGGTCACACACTGGGACCACTAGGGCAGAGGATTGCAAACAGCAGTTAGTGCCACAGAATCCCAGCACCATCCCAGGCAGATAGCTCTAGAAGGAAATAAAACGCTAAGATACCCCTAAATCCTTTGTAATCACTACAAGCTTTTCTTCCGCAACAGTTTTAAAACATCCCTTTCCTTGAGCTCGGCAGAGCATGATCAGGAAATGGACCCATTCTGGGAACAATTCTAAATAATAACACATGGATGGATTTCTTAATCTGCCTTGTCCCATGTTCTTGCTGACATCTTTTTTTCTTGCGTGGAATGTGACCGACAGATGTTATGCAAGTAAAAGCTCTCCATCAAAGTGACGTGGACAGTGGTTCTCCATCTAATAGCAACATCAGATCCCATTAACAGAGACTCTGTAAGGGAAACCTGAAGGAAGTTCTCGAGTTTTCTACGTATTGGCTTCCACTGCTTCTTGTATGGCATCTCTTTTGAATATCGTATCTTCTCAGGTTCACATGCGTCAGGCTGCCTGTTCCAGCACTAGCTGCAAAAAGTAATGCCGATGATATGTCCCCATTCCAGGCTTACCGTTCTATTAGACTTAGCATTATATACGGACACGTTGTACTTCAGGTTAGAGTAAATTTGTTGCATGGAAATAGAACTTTCTTCTGGATTTCTCTTCCACTTCTCTGGAGCCATCAGAACAATAGAAATGGATTTCTCATCTGTAGATAAAGCAACTTCTGGCGGGCCAATTTGTGCTTAAAGGGGAGGGGAGAGGGAATGATCATGTTCAGAGGTAGAAATCACTGTGGATAAAACTACAATATAATCCTACGGGGATGAAAGCCCTACAGCCCACCTCTTAGTTGAGATGCCTCAGAATGCTCTAAGGTGGGCCCAAGTTACGCTACATCTTGAAACGATCCCTTCACACACCCTGACACAATTTTAAAACAGAACATTCAAGTGTTGTATTTACTTAGTTCCTGGTCACATGGGTAAACAGATGGAAAATAGAATTAAAAGTGTTTACGGCACTCCTATGACATCAAATGAAAAGTTGGTGATAAATTGCATTAATACGAACTGTAAGTGGTGAAAATCAGACATGGAGGAATGAACCACTATTAAAAGACCTCTGAAGGGGTGCCTGGGTGGCACAGTCGGTTAAGCGTCCGACTTCAGCCAGGTCACGATCTCGCCGTCCCTGAGTTCGAGCCCCGCGTCAGGCTCTGGGCTGATGGCTCAGAGCCTGGAGCCTGTTTCTGATTCTGTGTCTCCCTCTCTCTCTGCCCCTCCCCCGTTCATGCTCTGTCTCTCTCTGTCCCAAAAATAAATAAACGTTGAAAAAAAAAAAAAAAAAAAAAAAAAAAACAAAAAAACCTCTGAAGAAGCACCTGGGGGGCTCAGTCAGTTGATGTCTTGATTTTGGCTCAGGTCACGATCTCATAGTTTGTGAGACAGAGCCCTGTATCAGGCTCAGCACTGACAGCAGGGAGCCTGCTTGGGATTCTCTCTCTCTCTCTCTCTCTCTCCCTCTGCCCCTCCCCCGCCCATTCTCTCTCCTCTCTCTCTGTCTCTTTCTCTCTCAAAATAAATAAATAAACTTAAAAAAAGACCTTTGAAGATGTGATTGGAATGACCTATAACAGAGGATTCTCAAACTTTTGCCACAAAAGTCCATACAGGAAATGTTTTAGGCTTTACAAGCCCTATGATCTTTGTTGCAATTATTACTTATATAAATGTAAAAATCATTCTAAGTTCTTGGTCTGTAGAAAACCGGAAAGGTGGCAGTGCTTCATTTGGTCTGAGGGCATAGTTTGCTGACTTCTGATCTAGAAGGACACCAGAGGACAGGCTCTGGCCCCAGGACTTGAGGGACCAGTCCTTATAAATTTCATGATGTCAGCTTATAAATTTCATGATGTCAGCTCTGAGTGGGTCCTCTACACCTGAGTCAGCCACAGAATAGGAGATGGGAAAATTTAAAAAGCAAATATCAGGATGATGCTGCTTTAATTCTGAGTTACACCTACAAATTACATCATCACACTACCAAGTGTCTAACAAAAAGAGACTTAGTTTAGTAATCAGAGCACCTTGAATCAATCTTGTGGACTTAACGCCATGGTTTATAAACCCACAGCAATTAAAAAAAATATCTGTCAGTTCCTCAAATTTCATAGTCCCCACTAAATAACCAAACAAAATTGAACTTGGATAATATTGGCATCTAGTGTTAATTTTGGACCTGGGAGAGATCCTAGTGATGACTCAACCAAGCTTCTCATTCTATAGATGAAACTGCGATCCAGCGAGATGAAGCCCCTTGGGCTGGTCATTCTTGGAGCTGAGGGACAGAATGAGAACAGAGCCATGCAGAGCACTGGTCTCGGGCGAGGCTGTCCATGAGTCTAAGACTGTATACTCGACGGTCAGATGAATTTGATATTATACGTGTTTATAGACAATTGTGTTACTTACTCTCTAAGAATGGATAGAATCGTCCGGTTTCTGCCCATTTGGAACAATTCGTTTCCCAAATGGCCTTAACTTTGGCATAATATTGATGTTCATAATCGGAAGTTTCCACAGAGAGATCACAGCAGGTCCTATTGATATTTCTACATTCGGATTTATTCAGCCATTTTTTTTGCCCATATCTGCTGAGAAAGAAACTGAATTAATAACGAGGTGCCCTCTGTGCTTTACAATAGAGGAAAAAAAAACAGTCCTTATGCAAAACTGAATGGAAGTTAAGGCCTTCTCTGCAGAACAACAAATGTGCCTGTCATTGAGATAAAAAGGAATCCACGTTTGCTGCTGGCAATTTTTTTCATGAGCTGTCAGGAACATGAGTCAGAGTTTCTGCAAGCACCTTTCTTTTCTGTGAATTATAATGTGGATCGTACATTTTGAAAGCATGTATTTTATTATTATTCTTGGGCTACAGTAAAAATTCTACGTATTGTGTGATCAATTCTTCTAGTAATTATCCACGTAAGTTTTTAGTCCGCCATGCCTACAAAGGTCAATTTGATGGGTTGTTTTAAGAAAAATTAGTCATTTTTTTCTTGGAAGAAAAATTACCTTGACATTCTCATAAAATTTAAAAATCTACTTGCTATCAAGGGTTCTAGGGAAAATTCACTAGGTAGAAGTGTATGCCACAGTAATTACAGTGATGATGACGACAGTGACTAGGCTGTTTATATTATTTCTCCTTTCCTTTGTTGAAAACACAAAACCCATAGCAAGGAGGGAGGGGGAAATACTTTTAGAACTTTTCAGGGGGGGAGACTGAGGGATAGAGAGATTAAGTGACGCCGGATGAGCCAGTGTGAGAGACCGGGTTGCATGGGAGGCAATGAAGGGATTAATGCAGGTGTGTTGGGGTTCTAGAAAGCCAACTGGTGTAGCATGGAGAATGCAGTGGGTTAGGAGTGGCAGCCTGGGGAGCAGCTGAGAGGATACTGCAGTGGTCCAGGTGGAAGATGTAGGTGGCTTGGACAAGGACAGTGGTGGCAGAAGAAATGACAGGACAAAAGGAAGAAATGTTGGGAGCCAAGACTTGGTAATTGAGGTGAGCAGGTGAGAGATGAGGGAGATAACGATGTTCAGGATGATGTTTCTTTTCTGTCTGGGACAGTGGTCATGTTTGCCAAGATAAGCAATGCCAAAGAATGGGTTTGGGATATGTGGAGGACGGATGGGAGGAAAGAAAGGTAACAAGTTGTGTTTCTGCCATGTTGAACTTCAGGTATGTGAAAGCCATCCAGATGCAGATGCCCAGTAGGCCCTGGGGCTCAGCAAAGGGGTGGGAGTGGGAGGCAGTGATTTTGAAACCAATGGCACAAAACTGCTCATTGAAGGCACAGGCGCGAGTGAAATTATCATGGAGACAAAGCAAAGCCTAGGATAAAATTCCAGGCTCATCAGGGTTTAAAGGTTGGATACAAAGTACCGTTGGAAATAGCAGCTAAAGAGGCAGAAGGAGAAAGAGAGATCACAGAAGTCAAGACAAGAGTATGTCTTGAGAACAAGGAAATGTCAACTTTATTAAGTGTTGACAAAGTTTAAGGGTATCCTCTCTTTTCAGAATATGGCAACAGATTCGTGAAAGCAAATGTCTCCTGTTTCATAAAGTACCATACATTCCAGAAGGCACTAGAAATACAGGTAAGATCCTGTTGACCAACTTCTCCATCAAGTGGTTACCATTGCCTAAGGGGTTTCAAAACTTTTTGTGGCTGTGAGCCACAAAAAGAAATCTGTTTTATGGGGCACCTGGATGGCTCAGTCGCTTAAACATCTGACTCTTGATTTCAGCTCAGGTCATGATCTGACAGTTCATGGGATTGTGTCCTGCGTCTGGCCCTGTGCTGACAGTGCGGAGCCTACTTGGGATTCTCTCTCTCCCTCTCTCTCTGCCCCTCCCCTGCAGGTGCACACTCTTTCTCTCTCTCTCGCTTTCTGAAAATAAATAAAGAAATATTAAAAAAAATTTTTACACTGGGACCCGGCTCCCATAAACACACATATATTTAACATACTAAAAACAAAGGTTTTATAAGATAATATTTAAACTTGACTACATGCCATGAATTCCGTTATTTTCCACTCCAATCCTGTTCACGCCATTCCAGTCCCTTCTATTAAAAATAATGCTAGTTATATCCCTCAAAATTGATTTCATGGTCCATCAACAAGTCTTGACTTATGTGTGGTTTGAAAAATACTGCCATCACTGATTTGATGCTCTCTCCTCAAACTTCCTTATTCTGCCAAGGGCAGGGCAACTTCCCATGACAGAGGTGGGTGGAGGAGAAAATACTCTTTCCCGGATTCTGGACAGTATGCTTTGTAAGTCTTACAAACTGATAGACCTCAACTATTCAATGAGTACTCCAGTAATGATGTTTATGCAGGGCAGAAAGTCCTCTGGAGCCCTCAGTGGTCTCTGACTGGTTTCTAGTAATGGCAGTAAGTGCTTATTAAGTGCTGGGACCCATGCTTAGGATTTACATGCTTTATCTCATTTAATTATCCTAATGACCCTAGCAGGTAGGTGCCATTATTTTCACCCTCTTGTACAGATGAGGAAACTGAGGCCCATGGAGACAAATTCATATGACTACTAACAGGCGTATCTGGGATTTGAACCACTCTTCCCCAATGCCAAAGCTCGTGCTTTTAGAACTACACGATATTTTTTCGGCATTAAATTCTTTTGACAGATAGAATTTAAACTTTTGTTAAAATTTCATCTTTTGCTTGGAAACAAGCTTCACTCCAAAGGGTAAAAAGCATAATATGTAACTTGCCCAAGGATACCTGGGTAGGTTCCTAGGCTAGCTACAAACCACGGACTGTTGACCGTGCTGCTGCGCTTGGGAGCCTTGTCGGTGACATATGCTACTCTGTATTCTTGTCATCTCACACGTGCACAGGCATGTAAGGCCTCTAACATGGCAAGTTTCTTTTAAAATACTCACTTCTGAAAGTTGTACCATCTAAACTATTTGCTCTCCCAGAGCAGTGATGACTCTGCCTCTTTTCTCGTTATCCTTTTCTGAATCAAAGGAACATGTAAAGGACAGAGCAAGCTCTTTGCTCCACCTAATAGAAAAGGAGGCCAGGGCATAGTCAAGAGCCATTTCTCTTTGCAGGATGATGTCTTCTTTGCTAAAACACCAGCTTCCAGAGAAACTCCTTGAACATGAAAGTGAGATTCTGGATAAATGAGGTCATTGTGAATAGCAGCTGAAATATTTCACTGCCTTTAGTGGCCAGAGTTTTTTTTTTCAAAGACAAAAATGGCTTTCTTTCTTTTCAAATGTGGTATTTTTTAACTCAATCAGAAAAATATAATCAAGAGAGAGAAAGAAATAACCCTAAAACCTATTAGGCCAAAAGCAGTTGGCATACCTGATTCTGGACGTCTCATGCTTCTCTATACACACGAGAATGATTATATGACTGCACACAGAGGCAATAACTAGATTATACCACGCATATCATTTTAATCAAAGCTGTAAATTTAACTTGATTTGAACTTGAATAGAAAAAAATTGAAGCGAAAGTAAAGGAATTGCTGTGGTTCATGTGTTTCATCACCACAAGAGATACTAGTTCCTAAAAGATATTTTAAAATAAGAAAATAGTTTATGAAAAATATTGGGAGTTTAGTTATTAAGATAATGAAATATTTTCAGTTTAGATCACATTTAATGGCTTCCTGCTATGAAAGTCTGTACATTTAAAGTTTTCCCCTACCTCCTAAAGTTCCATAAGCACATTTCCCATCACTGTTTAGTCTTAGCTCTTCACTCAGATGGTTTCGGTGTGTTTACCACTCTTTTCACAGTGACAAATAATGTTGTCAGTACTAAATTCTTCATCCAGGTTCATCTTTATCTCTATCGGACAGATATCATCTTTAGTGAGTGGTTTTCTCCCCCTCAAGAAGGTCTCAAGGGAGTACCATCCTGAGATCTCTCACTTGCTTGAAAATACATCTGGTGAACTTGACAAGAATCCCAGATCACATCTATTTCTCCCTTAGAAGATGTATTGCTGTCTTCTGTCGAGTTTTGCCAGACGGAAATCACCCCACTCCCCCTGTTCCGTCCCACTTGTGTCCCACTCTTGCTATGATCATCATAAAGTACTTCATTTTCTTAAAGTTCAATAACCTCACCAGGATATGTCTTCCAATGCTTTTATTACATTTTCCTAGACAGAGCATGCATTTATGATGTGTAATTCCAGACAGTAATTATCACTTTTCAATTATTCCTATCAGTTAGCTATAGGTTTTTCATCTCTGTAACATTCTTATTTTCCATCTTTTCCCTAAGTTCTGCCCACTTGCCTTAAAAAAAAAAAATTCTTCCTTTTGTTTTAGAATCTCTTCTTTGTTTGCTTTTTCCTTCCTCCTTTCCCTTCTCCCTTCCCTTCCCTTCCCTTCCCTTCC